CAGTGCCGAAGCCCCACCCGCGAACACTAAACCCAAAACCCTAAGCCCTAATCCCAAAACCCTAAGCCCTAATCCCAAAACCCTGACCCAAAAGCGCCCGAAGCCCAAGCCCGTGCCTCTTGCCCCGTCATGATCCCCAGGCCAAGGCCTCCATACCTCACTCACATGGCTACTTTAGGGGCCTAAATATTACCAATGCTATTTTGGGGGTTCCTTATTTAAATTACTATTATTATAGTTATTATAAGTATTACTATTATTAATATTGTTATTATGTTTTTTTTTATCTTTATAATCATCATTATCATTATAGTACAACGGGCCCCCGAACCCTATCACTCACATGGCTAGGTCTTCGGGCTCAGGGCTTAGAGCTTGGGGAGGAAGCTTTGGGGCCTAAGGTTCAGGGTTTAGGGCTTCGGGCTACGAGCATAGGGCTCAGGGCTTCGGGTTTAAGGCTTTTCGCTTAGGGTTTAGGGTCTAGGGTTTATAGGGTTTAGGGTCTAGGGTTAGGGTTTAGGGTTTAGGGTCTAGGGTTTAGGGTCTAGGGGTTAGGGCTTAGGGGATAGGGTTTAGGGTTGAGGGTTTATGGGGTTTGTCATCGGAATAGCAAGAGCGAAGCTTGCGAGAGGAGCGGTGTCGGTATCAGCAGGAGTGATACAGTGATCGTGTTGGTGGCAGCGGTACTAGCGGCGGGATGATGGCATCGTCGTCGTGGTAGTCGTAGTGCCAGTGCTAGTAGTGGTAGTTGCTATTGTGGCTGTGTTGTTGCTGTTGTATTTGCACTGGCTCGGAAACCAACAAAAGTAGAACCCTTCTGGAATCCACTAAAGGAGCCCGTAAAGGACCCTCAGGGAAATAAGTCAGAAAGTATGTCTCTGAGCTTGTGGCGTAGCGCTTAGACTTAGACTTTACGCTCCGGGGAGTTTGTAGCTAGGGGACTCTGGGGGACGTAATAATAATTAGAATAGGGTTCCTTTCAAAGGGTAAATTTGGGCCTTAATAATTAGAATAGGTTTCCTCTAAAGGGATCCGTAAAAGGGTCTATAAGGGAGGAATTTATCGTAGGGTTCGAAAATAGAGGGGCCCGTAATAAAAAGAGAAGGGTTCCTTTAAAGAGGTCTAATTGGGTTACTATAAGGGCTCTACAAGGGTACTATAATATAGGGTCCGTAATAATACGAATAATTAGAATAGGGTTCCTTGTAAGGGGTCTACAAGGATTACTATAAGGGGTATTATGGGGTTTAGTATAGGGGCCGTAACAATTAGAATAGGGCTTTGGGGCCCATCTTGTTTTTTACAAGAAGGCAGCGCCAAAAATAGTATAGGTAATTATTAAGGCCTCGATACTACAACTGTCGAACGTGACCTTGCTAGGGTCCTTGGATTCTTTGAAGCGTGTCCCTTTGCTTGGTGAATTTTGGCCCGTCTAGTGGAATGCAAAGCCGCCACACCCTCGTTGCAGGACCGGGCTTGTTTTTTTTGGTTTAGGTTCGGATCTAGAGCCTAAAGTAAAAGCCAAAAAGTTGGAATATGATTATCCTAAACCGTTTATGGTAAATTATAGGGTATCCTACCCTGAAGCCATATTTCAACTTTCTGGAGTTCCCTTTAAGGCTTGCAGTTTGGGGTTCAGGGTTTCGGCTTTGGGTTTTAGGGTTCAGCCTAGGATTTCCGATTTACAGCTTACCTGGAGGGTCGGGGGACTTTGTAAGTAGGCAGTAAGTAGACTTATAAGTACCCTAAAAGGAACCCCTGAGTGGGGTTATGGTACTTATAAGTCCCTAAAAGATACAGTTACTAAGTCCCCCGACCCTCCAAGTAGGGTTCGGGGGTTTGGGCTTTGGCAAGTCTGAGGCCACAAGACACACGCACTGAAACCCGTTAGAGCCCATCTCAAGCACCCAGAGAGCCCAATACCCCTTATTTAAGGAATATGGCTTACATTATATAGGGCTTGATACTATGATTTAAGCTACATATTCCTTAATTAAGGGGTATTGGGCTCTCTGGGAACCCTCAATGCCTTTAACAGAGATATTAGAGGTTCAGGAGCTTATTATAGGGTTTAGAGACCAACAGGTTTAGGGTTTAGGTTTAAAGACATTATTAGGGGTTCAGGGGTTAAGCATTTAGAGATTAAAAGATTCAGGGTTTACAGATATTCTTAAAGGTTCAGGGCTTTAGGGTTTAAAGGTCCTCATCCAGGGTCCATACCGCAAACCCAAGCTTTCCTGAAGCCCCCATCGACTACGATCTCCCAATAGGAAATGTCTGGTGTTGTTTGGGACCTTCCCCAGAAGTTAGGATTTAGGGGACCCTTGGGGATATCGACCCTCTCGACCCTCTCTAAAGGTCCCTTTTAAGAGAGCCAGAAGTAGGGTTAAGAAGGGTCCCCTTTAAGGAGTCTCTTTAATACTACCCGAGGAATCTCAGTTGTAATCCTGCAGCTAGGCGTACTTCTGGCACCCGGAATCTGCTAGCAACATCCACAGTCTCTAACTACATCCCACCCAATACGCCGAGACCCTAACCCCGCGCCCTCTACCCCAAAACTCGGCACAAACCGGACCTAAAAGATTGAGATACGGGCCTTGTCAGGTAGAATAAGGTGTCGGCATATAGAACACGTTGATCATACAAAGGTGCCCAAAAATTCTACTATGCTATATTATGACTAAAGCCCTTTTCTCAAACCTCTGGCTGCAAACTCTGCCCAAGGCTAAGAATTGGGTTTGGAAATTCCTGTATGGTATACTTCTAGTAAGCAACACCCCCCAATCCTAGAACCACGGGGCTCTCCCCGCTGTCCCTCTCTTTTTCTGGTGCGTGCCCAAATCCTCGGCCTGCGCGCATTGCTTGGAGAGTCGGAGGACTTAGTAAGTAGGGAGTAAGTAGAGTTACAAGTGCTCTAAATGGGGTACATACAAACCCGAGCCGCTTCTAATTATTCTAGCCCCTGTACTAAACCCTAAATCCTAAACCCTAAACCCCTTCTTGTAATCCTTCTAGACCCCTTCAAAAGGAACCCTACTCTGATTCTTACGGCCCCTATATTATAGTGCCCTTATAAATCCCATATAGTAACCCTACTATAGACCCCCTTAAAAGGAACCCTACTCTTTTTATTACGGCCTCCTATAGTATAGAACCCTACTATAGATCCCTTATAGACCCTTTTAAGGATCCCTTTAAAGGAACTCTATTCTTATCATTAAGGCCCCTCCAGCTAAGGTTTTTTTTTGGTCTCGGTCACAGGGGCGACTTGGCGGATCTTGGGACGTAGTAAGCAGGGGATTATGGGTCCCAAGAAGGCATCGATAGGGGGTACTTTAAGGGTTTAGGGTTTAGGGCTTCGGGTTTAGGGTTTAGGTTTAGAGTTTGGGGTTTAGGGTCTAGGGCTTCGGGTTTAGGGTTTAGGTTTAGGGTTCAGCGTAATTGGAGGATCTTGGGACTATGCGAGCAATGTTAAAAGTTCCCTGGTCGGAGGTATGAGTACGTACATCGACAGCTACTTTATTTGTAACCCTGGCCTCTATGTCGACTTTAGGGCACACCCGCCTCAGCGCCGCATTTCCTCAGCGGCTGGTCCCAACCTCCTTCATCCTGAACATAAAGGATGAATAACATCCACTGACAACATTCGATGTCGGAGCACCCCGCGAAGATGTGTTGCAACGGGCACAATGTTGTCGTTCATGATGGTCATGAGCCTCGAAGAGGATGTCACTCAACTGACCCATTTTGCAACAGCCATGAAAACTTCATGGTCAGCATGGTGCGGGTGTGAATAAGGACTTCTCCGGCGGATGAATAAAAAAACATTCTGATCTCGATGTTGCTTCGCAGTGACCCTCCCAGGTCTGCCATTTCATGCAATGAACCAAACCTCAGCATGGAGAGCCCCATCTGGGATCATAAATGCCCTAGCGGGAATACTTTTGTCTAAGCTCACTTATCCTCCATGCCCCTTGAATGTAAGAACACTTGGAGATCCGCAGAAGAAACCCATATGCCAACAAGGCAAAACACTAAACAACCACTAATAGCCACTAGATCCATTGATCCTCCAAGCATGGCCCCTAAACCCTAAACCCTAAACCCTAAACCCTAAACCCTAAACCCTAAACAGGGCTTGTGACCTAGCGCTTGCGGCTGAGGGCTCGGGGTTTAGGGTGCAGGCTTCAGTTACCCTCAACCCTTATAGTACCCTTATAGATCCCTTAAAGGAACCCCTGATAGTACCCAAAACCATGATCCTAAACCCAAACAAGTTATCTGAAGTTAGGGTTTAGGAGTTTACAGGGTTTTCTTACCTTTGGTTAGCAGGGAATGGAGGAATGGAGTGCAATTTTCACCACTATTACTACCATTCTTCCATTCCTTACTAACCAAAGGCAGGTTTAGGGCTTTTAGAGTTCAAACCCGGCGGCTCGAACCAGGAATGCTCTCAAGGGTAGAGGGTTTACCTAAGCCCGGAATGACATACCTTTCTAAGGACCTTATATAAGGAAGTCATATTTAGGAACCCTAAAAAAGGTAGGTTCTTCAGGTTTAGGGTTTAGGGTGCTCTAGGATGCCCAGTAACCTAGGAATAAAAAGGGCTCCCTTTTTGGTATTGAGCAAGGTTGTAAGGGACCCAGGCTACAAAAAGGGAACAAGGGTACTACTGGGCATCCTAGTACTTAAGAAAGCCTACTTACTAAGTCCTATGATCATCCAGGTAGACCCTCAACCCTAAACCCTCACAGTACCCCTCTAGATGCCTTAAAGGGATCCTTAACCTCGTACACTTGCTTAAGGTACTTATTAATAGCCTGACTTCCTATCCTCAACCAAAAGATCCCTTCAAGACAGTAGATCCCTTAATTTGGGGCCCTAATTATACTACTGCGGGTACTTTATAGGAACCCCCATTAAGGGATCTACTTTTTGCATCCTCCCGGGGGTCTGGTACTTACAAAGTCCCAAGATCCTCCGAGTCAGGCGCCGCCTGCTCAGCTCCGGATGACCGGCGGGAAGCCCGCTGTTTCCAGGTCCGATTTCATCTCCTTCCTTGGCGCGCTAGGATTTTTGTTTTTTGAGGTTTAGGGTTTAAGGTTTAGGGCTTAGGGTTTAGAGCTTAGGGTTTAGGGTTTAGGGCTTGGGGTTTAGGGCTTAGGATTTAGGGATTAGGCTTTAGGCTTTAAGGCTCAAGGTTTAGGGCTCAGGGTTTAGGGTTTAGGGCTCAGGGTCCACGTCCGATTTCATCCCCTTCCTGGGCGCCTTAGGAGCTTAGGGGTTCAGGGTTTGTGGGGTTTCGGAGCTCAAGGTTTTCGAGTTTTCCGAATTGGGGCTGTAGGGTCTAGGGTTTGGGCTGGAGAAGTTTAAGACGGATTTGCAAAGGGCAATTTTTCTAAGGGTGGTAGGCAGAATCCGAGTGGGTGTTTATGGGTTTTGAAGTCTCATACTGTTTCGTGAAGTTCTTATCGGCTTTGAAAGGGTTCAGGGTCTTGTCGGGTGTTTGCTTTGAGTTGTGTTCCGTTTCAAAACTGGGGGCTTGAGGATTCAAGGTTTAAGCACTTTGGATTTATAGTGTCTGGCGTAAGGACCTGGCGTACCTGTACGAGGTAGTTCTTTCGTCCTGTCTACGTGATGTAGGGCGGGGTTGATACATTTGGGCTCACGGGTATAGGATCTTGGGCCGCTTTGGTCAAGGGTGCTGTGACCTCTTGGGATGTTACGGATGTTACGACTGATGTTCAAAAGCATGATCTATGCCTGACGACCTTTGAATTAGGGTCTGGGCGTTGGAAGATAATAAACCCATCGCACCTAAATTCCCACACATAACAAAGCATCACAACTCCTACGGAGTAGGGTTTAAGGCTCAGGGTTCAGAGTTTTGGGGGTTCAAGGAAACAGATGGCCCAACTCCAACCCCAAATCCCAAATCTCCGTGCCCTCCGTAAAAATCACCGACATCAAAAAATAAAACATCGAACGCTAAAGCATCCCCATATGCAACTTTGCGCCCAGCGGCAGTTTCTCCTTGCTGGAGAACTCGACAAATTTCCTTGCACCCACCGAAACCCTAAACCCCTAAGGCCCTAAATCTTAAAGCTCTGAAACCCGAAGTCCCCCAAACCCTGAAGAAACGCTTCGCTGAAGCCATATGATGGCTGGCGGGAAACATCTCAAATAGCGGTTCAAAACGTGTTACGACATGTAAAGCTGTTATGACTATGATACCTCGCTAGGGATGCTTTTTGCTTCAGAGTGTTTGAAGGGGCCTGGGCAAGCGTGCCAGGATGAGTTTAGAAGGGATGAGTAAGGTTGACGGTCTTCGGGCGGTGGGTTTAAGGTTCCCTGCGTTAGGGTTGTCAGGTCGTGGGGGCTTATAGGCTTTAGGGTTTATGGTGTAGGATTTGGGTTGGCTAAACACCCTAAACTCTGACTGCACTATAAGGACGAGTCTAAGTGAGAAGAGCTCTTCGCCTCTGTACGGACAGATATGTTGCCCATCTACTACTACACGAAAACCCAGACCCCATTCACGAGCCGGAGCTTTCAAGTAAGCCCTACTTAAAGGACCATGGGACTTACTAACTAGGGTTACAAATAAGGTAACTATACCTATAATTAGCCGGATCTTTCAAGTAAGCCCTAACCTAAACCCTAAACCCTAGAGCCCTAAACACCGAGACTGAGACAACCAAGAAACCGTAGAGCTCTCCTCCCAGAGGTCAGCAGCTCAGCGCTGAAACCCGAAATGCTGAAATCATGAGCTAGGTTGGCCCTTTAAAGCCTCTGAAAAATATTCGTTTATAGGGTCCTAGTAAGCCCAATAAGAGAAGATGTAAAATATCCCAAAGGCCTACCTAGTGAGTCATTTAAAGTCAAGTCCTTTTGCACAATGTTGTATGAAGGCCTGTCAAGCCCCTCAAAGCTCTAGAACCAGTTGTCGCAATGCCTCGCAATGAATTCGAAAGCCTAAAGACTACAAACCTTTGACCCCAAACTGCACAAGCCCAAGCCCTAAACCGTAGCCCTAAACCGTTAAACCGTAAGCAGATAAACCCTAAACCCAACACCAGATAGAATGTCGACCGGACCCCATGTTGGTGAATGCCCTGGCGCAGCACTTCACGCCGCGCGCTTTCCGAAAAGTTTCAACCGGCGGTTCTGAGCGTGACAGGAATTTTAAGGTACCCTGATCTGGAAGGCCGCCGTGCAATGCACTGACTCCGCCGTCCAAAGTCGATGCAGTTGCTGGTGGCTTCTGCTGGGGCCCCTGCTCCAACCCTTCTCCGCGATCTGGAAAACGCGACCGTTGTGTCACGGATTTGTAGAACCTAAACCCCAAACCGTAAACCCTAAACCGTGGTGTGTAGATATAGGCGCAAACGCCGAATAGTCCAAAGCCGAAACCCAAAATCTGAAATTCCAGAACCCTCCAGCAAAACACTGTTAAAGCAACTGTCGGCCCCAAAACAGCCTATATACAACTCTGTGAACTAGACGCAACACCCCATGAACCCCCAAGCCTTTAAACCCTGAACCCTACACTAGAAGCCAGAAAGTTGGAACACCATTATCCCCACGCCCTTAGGTAAAGAAGAGTGGACTCTAGCACTAATCATCCTAAAACCATGTTCCAACTTTCTGGGGTTGACTATAAACCTCAAAGCTTTCCAGGTCCAGGGTGCTGCAGGTCACAGAAGCAGGTTGGCATGGGCGCATGGTAATCGCTGGTATAGCGATCGTGACCTGGGAGGTGGGATTTAGGGTTGGTCTAGGGTTGAGGGCTTAGGGTTTACTGGTCTATGTATGTAGGCGTTCATATAGGATTTTGTAGTGGGCTGACAGATTCTTCTTTGCTATATTTCGGCTCTCAAAGGCTTGGGGTTACGTTTGCATCTTGCTCTTGTGTTTTCCATGTGGCTTCGTTCGTTTGGGTCTAAGGTGTTGGGGTTTGGGTTTTCCATATTTTGGGTTTGGCTTAGGGCTTAAGCTTCGAATGGCGCGAAGAGTCCGAAGACGAGGGTGGGGGGCTTCGTGTTGGGGGCTTATCGATTTAGGGTGCAAGGTGGGATTAAGGATAGAATGTTTGCCTTGATTTATTAACAAGCCCTTTCTCTGAGGGGAACAAAAGGTTATAACCTCTAGGGGATACGTAGGGACTGGCTAAAGGTTACCTAATTGCTCTACTACTGAGCAAATTAGCCCTAGTTCTGCTTTCTCAACACTCAACACTAGACTTGAAGCCCTGAGCCCTTAACCCTCCTCTAAGCCCTAGACCCGAAACAGGAACCGCCGGCTGAACCAAAATGAACGCCTTCTAAAACTGGTCAACCAACAGCAGTCCAGGACAGGAAGTAAGCCCCTTAAAGCTTAACCGCTAGAGAAAAACCCTAATCCCCTAAGACCCTAAGCCCTGAACTCTAAGACCCTAAACCCTAAGCCCCTACGACCCTAAGCCCTAATCCCCAAACCCTAAACCCTAAGACCCTAAGCCCTGAACTCTAAGACCATAAACCCTAAGCCCTAATCTATACTGAACTTAGAACCCTAGCAAGAATTGTAATTTTAGCTGTTTCTTAGGTATTTTAATAACCAAAAATTACAAACAAAATTCTAAGTACCCCTAAGAAACCTTAAAACCGAAGATCATCCAGGTAGCAACAATGCATCTCCTCCGGGGAGTGCTCCTTCGTGCAGAAAGCCTCAATCACGGTTTAGGGTTTAGGGTTTAGGGTTTAGGGTGACCGAGAGAGCCCATAATCCCCTTAATTAAGGAAGATGGCTTAAATTATATAGGGCTGCATATTCTGATTTAAGCTATATCCCCTTAATTAAGGAATATGGCTTAAATTGTATAGGGCTTCATCTTAATTAAGGAATCTGGCTTAAATTATATAGGGCTTCATATTCTGATTTAAGCTTTGTTCCTTAATCAAGGCATATTGGGCTCTCTGGGGAGCCCGAAAACTCCTGAATTTAGGGTTTGGGGGGTTGAGGGTCTATCTGGGTGGTTGTCAAAATTATGGTCCCGTTTTGGGTACCCTAAACCTTAGGTGCCGTATATATAATCAGGACCCGAAAAGGGGACCCTAATATTGAAAACCGCCCATTTCATAATAGGAAGGTTGATTGCCCTAAACCCCTAAACCCTAAACCCTAAACCCTAAACCTTTAATGAGACGCCCTCCCTGAAACCCCAGCCCTAAGTCCCTACAACCGCCGAGCCGTTAAAGCGGTCATGTGGCAGGGAAAGCCCAACCTGCACCCAAAACCTAAATGGGTTGTGGTTTAAACCCTTTGGAAAGCATTTATACCTAGGTTCCCTTTATAAGGAAATAAGGAAAGTTAAAAGTTATCCCAAAGCACAACCCAGCTAAACCACAAACCAAACAGGCGTACACTCGACCTGCAGATCCAAAAACCTAAGTGATTATGGGCTAAGTTTGGGGTTTGGGGATGAAAGTTTAAGCGTAAGGCTGTTCTATCATTCTGGAAACATACTTGGAGGGTCGGGGGACTTAGTAACTGGTTATTTTAGGGACTTATTAAGTATCATAACCCCAATTAGGGTCCCTTTTAGGGTACTTATAAGTCTACTTACTACCTACTTACTAAGTCCCCCGACCCTCCAAGTAACCTACTATCTTGCAGGAGTTGGGGCTCCAGGTAACGCACCACATCCTGAACCACTATCAAGCAGCCCGCCCGAATTCCGTGACCAGAGTCAGTTTTCCTGGTACCACCTCGAGAGGACCTGGCGGCAAACGAGAATTGAGAGCTTGGGCTACATAACGGATGAGGGGTACCCCTTAGGGCAGGGTGCAACAAACAAAGTGCTTGGTAATTAAGGATTTATGTTAGAAGCTGCCTCCACCCTGTAATAGTTGTATAATAGGAATATGATAGGGCCCTAATATAATCCTTATAGTCACTATTACATGGTGGGGGCAGCTTCTAGGATTTATGACTTTCCATACGGCTACCTACACAAGAGACCGTCCGGGGATTTGCCAGCGTATACGTAGGTTTATAATGAAGAACACCCATCCAAGGTACTTGTAGTCTAAGACCAATAGGGTTTAGGGTTTTGGTTCAATTATCCCTAAAGTAGTTGCGCACTGCAGACTTGCTTTGAATACGGAAACTGCAAACCCTAAACCCGAAAACCCGGCACCCTCAACCCTGAAACCGGACACCATCGTCCAAGCAAGTGCCCTGCTACTACCCAGACTTCAAAGGCCCCAAACAAGGGGCCAAAGCCACAAACTACCAGGATATCTCCCAGGCTGGGGAGGCGGGGGTATTCTTTGACCCTAAACCCTAAATCCATTCAGAACCTTTATAGTATAGAACCCTTTAAAGGGACCTCCCAAGCCCTTGCTTACCCATTCCCATGCCTTAAAAGATCTGGGTCAAGGCCGGCATGCACCGATCGAATAATCATTCTGATACTCTTCACCAAGGAAAAGAATACTCGACCCCTACTGTAAACCCTAAACCCTAAATCCTATAAACCTTGAACCCTAAGCCCTAAACCTAAACCCTAGACCCCAAAAAGCCTTATAGAACCCCCTAGCTGAAGTATCGATCCCTGACCCTATAAGAAGACCCCGCAAACTTATATAGAGCCCCTTAGATACCAACAACGCCCCGTAGAACCCTTATCACAGGAAAGCCTGGGTACAAGAGAAGCGTCCGAAAAAAAATCCTTGTAGAGCCCTTGCAGAAGAGCCTATATAGAGCCCTACTAGGCCTTTACAGATGCCTGAAAAAAACGCCTGAACCCTAAACCCTAAACCTTACCAACCCTAAACCCTACACCCTAAACCCCCAAACCCCAAACCCTAAACCACTAAACCCCTAAACCCCTACACCCCTAAACCCCTAAACCCCTAAGACAAGCCTGAATCAACGAGACGGGGGCCCTTCCTTGTCCTGCCAAGTCCTGGAGGGAGGTCGTACCCTTCCTGCAAAGCAGGTCCTGGCTTGAGGGCTCCGAGTTTAGATTGGGGCCTTGATAATTGAAGGGTTCCTTTTAAAGGGGTCTATGAGGATTGCAGAAAGGGGCATTATACTTCGAGTTTAACTTTAGAGTTTAGGGTGTAGGGTTCAGGGCTCCGAGTTTAGGTTTTAAGGTTTAGGGGTTATGTGTTTTCGGGATTAGGCTTCATAAGGTTTAGGGTTTATTGTTTGTAAGGTTTAGGGCTTCGAGTTTAGAGTTTAGGGATACTGTAAGCGCTTCGGGTTTGGGCTTTAGGGAGTGCTTTAAGGGAGTTTCTGGGTCTAGCAATCCCTATATAAACCCCAACCCCTAACCCCTAAATCTCAAATCAAACACTAAACCCTAAAACTCAAGAAAAAAACTAAACCCTAAAACCCTAAACTGTTGTGTTTCGGTCTCTTTTCATTCTCAGAATTGGAGCTCCTTCCAGTGTGAAGGGATATGTTTTAGGCTGAAGTTTTAGGGCTCTATTTTTTAGGGTTTAGGGCTTAAGGTTTAGGGCTTAAGGTTTATATGTTCTAGGGCTTTATGCTTCTAGGGTTTAGGGTTTACATGCTTTAGGGCTAAGGGTTCTTAAGGTTTTGGGCTTCGAGTTCAAGGGCTCAGAACCCGAAGGAACCTTCTAAGGTTCCGTAAGGGTTCCATTAAAGGGCTCTGTAAGATTCTCGCTGAAGGGTTCTATAAAAGTTCCATTCAAAGGATCTATATGGGCTTGGGAGGTTTGAGGCTCCAAGTACAGTAGAAGCCAGAAAGTTGGAACATGGTTTTAGGAGGATTAGTGCTAGGATCCCTTATACTTTACCTTAAGGGCATGAGGATAATGATGTTCCAACTTTCTGCTTTTCAGGGTTTAGAGTTTGGCCGGTAGGTTAGGGTTTGCGGGCCGGCTTACATAGCTTAAACCCAGCGCCCCAAGTTCCAGGATTTATGGATTATCCCCTAAACCCGAAACCCTGGACGTCTGGGATTCAAGTAAATCAAGATGCACAGCCGACATCGCAGACCCTAGGAATGGTGGTAACCGTTCGCATGAATCCTGCCTGCAGATTGCGACGCTGCAAGCTCAAATGCCACATCCCCTCGATGTTCAATGACTTAAGGAAGCCTTCTGGAAGGCTGGTCAAAACCTTAAAGAAGCCTCAGGAACCCTTCTAGTAAGCTTATTACAGAAACCTTTCTAAGGCTCTATCTCATAATTACAGACCCTTATAGAAGCCTTGTGAAACCCTCACAACACTCTTACAATGAAAGAATCCTTATTATGAATTACCACCAGAAAACCTACCATGGAGAGCCCGTTTCCGGTCGTGGGCAATGTATGGTGGTTTCTGATTGGTAAAACCCTAAACACTAAACCCGGTCGTGGGCGATGGTCGCCAGGGACTGGTAGATGGCGATTTGCAGCGGCGACCACTGCGCCTGACCGCGTGATTAATATAGGGCCTTAACAATAATTAGAATAGGGTGTTGGGTTATATACTAAAGATATAATAACAGGAACCCCCAAGAAAGTATAGGTAATTAGGGTGTTGGGCTATGTACTATAGTTATAATAAGGAAACCCCACGATGGTATAGGTAATTAGGCTGCTGGGTTATATGATCTAGTTATGATAAGGAACAACCCCCAAGATAGTATAGCTAAGTAGGGTGTTGGGTTACATACTGTAGTTAGATTAAGGAACCCCCAAGACAGTATAGGTAATAGGGTGTTGGGGTATATACTATAGTTAGAATAAGGAACCCCCAAGATAGTATACGTAATTACTCAAAGAGTGCTATGTACCGATATAGTAGAATATAGGGTTTCCATTATTAGGAATTACTATTATGACGTAGGGAAGTATCGCCCATAACAGTACATAGGCCTTTTTTGGGTAATTATGAAGGCCCCTAGCTTACTCTCCGAATTTGGGTGTTTGGTGGCTGCAGACGAAGGTTTTGGGGGTAGACGTTTGGGGTTTAGGGGTTTAGGGTTTAGGGTTCAGGGTTTAGGGGTTCAGGGTTTAGGGGTTCAGGGTTTAGGGTGTCAGGGTTTAGGGTTTGGGGTTGAGCGTTTAGCGTTTTGGGTTTTAGAGGGCCCCGGAAAAACAACGGAAACAAAAAAATCCCCAAAGGGATGCATATCTAAGCAGACTGTTGGATGCCTTTGGGGGTTCTGATCCTTTAAACCCCTTACAAAACACCTTTACTCCAAAACTCCTCAGCCCCTAGAAAACTGATCAACACCATCGAAACCTATGAACAAAGAGCTTCGAGCACGTTATAGAATCCCAGAGAAACCGCGAAGAAGCAACCCTTAACCGCTAAACCAAACCCTAGAACTCCAAACCCTAAACCCCTAAATCCTACGCCTACTGAAACCCAAACCCTAAAATCCTATACCCTAAACCCTAAGCCTACACCCTGAACACTAAATTAAACCTTACCCCAAACCCTAACCCTATGTAGCCTAAGCCCCAAAACCCAGAAACCCCAAACCCCAATCATACAGAACTCTAAACCCTAAACCCTTACTAAACCCTAACCCTACTTCCTCAGTCCTAATCTCTAGACCCTAAAGCTCTGTTTTGGCGCCTTCGCCTCATAAAGATGCTTGTCCATGCCGCTGCCATCCTCCCGCATGTAGGATTTGCAGGTTTCTCTTTCGGTGTTTAAGGGGCTCTTTTGCATTTCTTGAGGGCTTCGCGCCTAGGGTTTAAGGTGTCGGTTTTTGAACATTGAAGTTTCTGTTTGGGGTTTTGCTTTTAGGGCTTAGGATTTAGTGTAGGGTATCAGGTGTAAGGCTTTCGAGGCTTCTTTCTAGTACCGTTAGCATCATACTAGTGGTAGCTACTGCTACTACCACCACCACCACCACCACAACTACTACTGCCACTACTACTACGACGACGCGTACTGCCACAACGACAGCTATTACTACCACCGCTACCACTACCACCTCTAGAATCGTGCAAAAAGGCTTTATGAGGAGCTTCGGTTTTAATGCTCAAGGCTCAGGGTTTGGGGTTTAGAGTTAAAGGTTTTCTTTAGAGTTTAGGGTTTAGAGTTTAGGGTTTTAAAGTTTCGGGTTTAGGGTTGAGTCAGTTCACTGTTCAGGGCGACAGCTCAGGGTTTCGCGTGTAAGTTAAGACTTGTGTTTAGGGCCAGGGCCGGGTAGAAATTCGGGCCTAGCTTAACCCGGAAGAACCTACCTTGTCAAGGATTAATAGAAGGAAATCATAGTAAGCAGCCCTAAAAAGGTAGGCCATTCAGGGTTAAGGTAGGGCTTAAGCTACCGTTTTGAGGATTAATGAAAGGAAATCATAGTAAGGAGCCCTAAAAACGTCGGCTATTCAGCGTTAAGGTAGGGCTTGCCCTTTGGGTCTTGGGTTCAAAAATACATGATGTTTTTACACCAAGGCTTTCGGTTGGGATGCTCAGCTTCGATATGTGATAGAGGCAGAAAGGGAACCGAAGGGGCTTCCGTTGCAGGGCTTAGGTGGCTTCACTACTAGTCCCCCACCACCATATATTCACCCGCGAGAATCTTCACGAATTTTCTCAAGGAGCCCTATGAACACTCGCCAACACCCTAATCAAAACCTAAGCTGCACTTCATATGTTGTCACCAACCCTTTCCCGACACCTATATCCTTGCAGATAGCTATAAAAGAAGCCATCAGTGCAAAAACGAAAGAACCGCAAAATCAACCAAGAGTCTTAGAGACGAGGTGCCCCGAAAGCCCCAACCCTACATGCCCACCCTTGAATCCAAGGGTAAAAGCAGGGACCCTTAATAAGGACCCCTAGGTATATACCCTTAATATAGCCATTATATTCCCATTATATAGCCCATTATAGGGCAGGGGTCCCCATTAGGGGTCCCTCCCTTTCCCCTTTGATTGAATCCTAAATCTCAGACCCAAGTCTAAGAAACCTTACCTCGGAACTCCTCACGAGCGCCCAAAAAGGGACATAGGCATAGGCATCTTGAAAACAGGCCCTACCTTCTTGGGCTTCATGATGTTAAGGGGCTTCTTTTATGGAATATCCTTATCCTAAGTTTTGCATATGTGCCTTTGGGGAGCCCTAACCACGCCACATAGTCAGGTTTGAGAAGCCCAAGTGGCAAACACGACCTTGACGACTAAGGTCCTTGAACACAGCCCTAAACCCTAAACCCGCAAACCCTGAACCCTAAACCCCACGCTAAACCCTAAACCGACAACCCATGGAAATCCTTACCTCGGTGAAGACCCCACATGATGTAGGAGCCTGAGTCACTACCAACAAGGAACCCCCGAAACCGGATTCTACTTGCGAGGACCCCTAGGTTAGTCAGCCCTATACCCTCTGAACCCACCCAGGTCCTCCCACATGTAGGTTGAGGGAACCACGGCAAACATGAGGTTGTGCCTGGCAGCTACATATACAGAGTTGATTGAGTTGGGTTTAGGGTTTACAATTTCCTGGCTCTGAAACTCGATTCTGAAAAAACCCTAGGCGAAGTCCTTCTGCGAGGTCGCCAATTTAGGGGTTTAGGGTCGCGACCTCCATGGTCCTTCGTCTAACTACTCATGACATGTTCTGAAGGGTCTTTCAACTCTATGTGGATCGTCCTGATAATGTAGTGTGTGAAACCATCCATGTTCGGAAGTCACCATCCCACGCCCCGAATGCCTTCGGTGGTTGAAGAGTTGAGCATGGAGGGCCTCGAGTTGGGAATTGAGGGGTTTATAGCTTCAAGATTATTCAAGACTTTAGCGTTTTAGGCCCTAAGGTTTAGGGGGCTTGAGGGTGAGCAGAAACCGATTGTAATCCCTACAGAACCCAGTCAATCCTCCTAGAAGCTCAGCCTATAATAAGAAACATCTTCATCCGAGAATCTTCAAACCGACACCCTTAAGCCTTAACCCAAAGCCGCAAGCCCCTGAACCATAAACCCCTAAACCCCTAAATCCAAAACCCATAAACCCTAAACCCGAAGCCGTAATTACCTGAAGTCTCTCAACCCAAGCGGCTTCTTCAGCAACTCGTAACGGCAATCATTAACGTCAAGCAGTACATCCCAACCTGAGATGCCGGAGGTCTCCACACACACATACTAATGCTTTCCATATATAAATATGTATATATATATATATATATACATTTGAGTATAATTACAGGTATCCATGTATGGATGTAAGATGTATATACATATACTTCATATATGTATGCTTATGCTTATCCTATTACTTTTTTGTGTATCTAATACATGCGTTTGCCTGTCTAAGGATCTGCGCGTGTGTATGCACATAAGCACCCGCCTCTACTGCAGAGTCCTGATGAATGAGCCCTCTATCTTGACGGGCCAACATGAGGATCCCCATAGTAAAGGCTACCAAAATCTGCGGGAATGATGAACTCATGTCTATACTGTGGTTCATGTCACCATCCGGATATAGAGACCACTTTAGAGTAGAAGCCAGAAAGTTGGAACATGGCTTTAGGAGGATTAGTGCTAGGACCCCTTATACTTTACCTTAAGGGCATGAGGCCAATGATGTTCCAACTTTCTGGCTTCTACTGTAAAGGGTGAGGCCTCAGGGTTCGAGATTCAGGGTTAAGGGTTAAGGGTTTAGGGTATAGGGTGTAGGGTATATGGGAGTTTCCGAAAAATAGGGGACCCTCATATAGTACCCTAAATAGTAGGATCCTTATTATAGGGACCCCAAAAGAAGGTACCCCTAATTTTCGGAAACTCCCATATGGGTTTAAGGTTTAGGGCTTGGGTTAAACAAGCCGGTGGTCTCTTTATCTGTTCCGAATGCTGCCTAATATAGCCCTAATAAGGAAAACCCTATGTACAGCCCCTTAAAACAGAAACCCCAGCTAATTAAAGAGACCACCGACCTCTATAACGGCTGGGGGCTGCCGGAGGAGTAACCATCACAAGAACAAGAATAGAAGCAGGAGTGGCAAAAGCACTGTCACAATAGCAAACAAAGGTTTGCAATATAGAAGCCTGAACCATGACCAACAACATACCTTAGAGTTGCTTATTGCAAGCACGTATACTCCAAAACCCTGTTCTACTTCCTACGGCCTCTAGACTCTAAACCCTACAATCATATATACTCCAAAACCCTATGCTATGTCTAAGGCCTCGAAACTTTAAACGCCCTAAACCCCTATAGAACCCCAAAAAGGAAAGGAACTCTGTGCGGAACCCCATTGACCACATTTTGCTTGCCACGGTCCATGCTTTAGTGCTTTAGGTCGGCCCCTGCGCTGTTATGGGTTTAGGGTTCAAGTGCTACCCAGACCCCCGGGATTGAGGGATCTACTTTCTAGATCCTTCCGGGGGTCTGGGTATGGGCTTGGGTTTAAGGTTTGGGGTTTAGGGCTCCTTTCAAGGGATATGTATTTCGATCCTGGAACTTGGTAACTACCCAGAGGCTCCATAGTAGTTCCTTTTTGGGGTTACCTTCCAGGATCCTGTATATATGAACCCCAAAAGGGAACTACTACCGAGACTTAGGGTAGACATATAAGTAAGGCAACTATAAGTATACTTACTTATGGCTCTAATTTGGGAACTTAGCCCCATGATCGTCCAAGTAGGGGTTCTCTTGGGATCTTTGTACTACACGGACTTTGGGTTTGGGCGTTAGGGGGTTCAAGGGTTGAGGGTTTTGGGTTTCTTCAGGGTGTTTTTTTTTTGCTGCGCTCTTGCTGATGAGCTTAATTTAAGATACCGTCAACAGGGATCTCTAGCAAATGTTATGCTTGCCATATTTATGGTAACCAAAGGCAAATTCCTTAACGACCCAGGCTAGGGCGCAGCTGCGGGGCGGACAGAGTAGGTCTCCGTGTCGCGGGAGAAGTCGCAGCATTCCAGAGAGCAAGCCGCATACCTTAGAAGCTGCCCCCACCCTGTTTTCGTGACTATGCGGATTATATTAGGGCCCTTTTATATTCCAATTATATTCCTATTATACCACTATCACAGGGTCACATACATCTCCTAGGGCTTAGGGCACAATGTAAACCCCTCAAAGGAGTTCTTAAAAAGAGCAAGCCCAGAAAAAAAGTAGCCTACTCCTTTCCCCTAAACCCGAAACCCCTATACCCTAAACCCTAAACCCTACACCCCTATACCCTAAACCCTAAACCCTAACTCCCTTATGGCTTAAGATGGATTGTTGGTTTCTGTCGGAGCTCTCGTTCTTGGATCCTTCAGGGCTCTGTGACCCCGAACCCTGAATACCAAACCTGAGATCCCCGAACGCAAGGTCCCAAAAGCCCTGACCCCCGGGAGGATCTGGAAAGTAGATCCCCCGAGTTTGGGGCCCTATACTACTAAGGGTACTTTATAGGAACCCCCATTAAGGGTCTACTTTTTGGATCCTCCCCTAACCCGAAACCTTGGAAATGAGAACAAGTCTTGTATTGTATCATACTATACTGTGTTGTTATGTTCTTGATACACAACGAAACATAGCACACCATCAGATGACATTATACACTTCAATACAAGATACGAAGATGACATATGATAAACATGTAAAGTAATGCCGAGTCGTAGAATTTAATAGTATGGAACAGGGAAATGTTGTATCACGTGATGTCATGTGAAATCTTAGCAATAACATAACATACTAACATGAAGTTTATCGCAGAGTGATCTAATGCAATAAAATCGAAAACAGTGTAAGATAAACAAAGCAGTATGATAAAGCAACATATTACAACCTCATACAGTATGGAAGCATAGACTGACATGTAATGTAGCGCAAGAAAACCCAATATGGTGCCAAGAACGGTTCTGTAATACAGCGGATTGTAATGTTCATTCAATATACCAAAACATAACAAACATGATAACATCAAAAAACATAGCAGAATCTAATGCAATGTGGTATAATCTAATACAACGCAAAATATTGTTCATGATACTGTAGCTCCATGAAAGATAAAACAAACAACGCTACATAACATAATAGAGTGAAAGATAATATACCAGAATTACAATATTATACGACAATATACGGTTGTGAAATGAGATGAGGTAAAAAGATAGACAATACCATAACATAGTGTGGTATAGAAAAAGATAATGCAACAAGATATGGTAAAAAGGACTCAAGCATGATATACTTTTATATCATACCATAACACCATATAACATAGCGTCACACAGCCTAGCATGCCGAACATATAATATAGCATGACATGCAATACTTCCTTGTATTGCAGTATTTGACCTTCTATTGAGGTCGGCTATAGTGTAATATGCTACAGCGAAATGTACTGCAGTATCATGTGACATGATGTAATGAGCATAACGTAACATAGGTCTGAAATAGAACAGTGGGATACAAGGCTAAAGTGCTCAACATGCTGCGATATGATGTCACATACTGTAGCATACTGTAACATAATGTGATAAAACATAATCCCATAGCCAGCTTAGGGCCTTCTACAACCGTGCAATCCTTGCGACACAAATCCCTAAAAGCCTAACGACTTTACAGGGTTGAGATTGAATGGAAAATTAAAGTTATCCTTTACCAAACGGTTTAAACAGGATGCCTTCCCCCACCAGAAGACACAAAAAGTTGAAATCGTATGAAACCCTGTACAACCAGGAAGAACCTTAAAACCCGATACTCAGCTCGAGCTGCTGGGCCACGCCGTCCTGCGCAGCTTTCCATGAGGCTTTCCGTGTTTTGGGGTTTGGTTTATGGAGCATGACGTCGGGCTTTAAAAAGCCTCACTGCTGTTTCTGGAGGAGCTTTATCCCTAAACCCTAAACTGTAAGCTGAAAGCTGAGAGCAACCCCCACAAAAAACAAAGCATTGAAGGCTTCAAAGATACACATTAGAAGTAGCATTAGCAGCTAGCCTTTGTCGTCGTCGTAGTGATTAGTAGTCGTCGTCGTAGCACAGCCGCAGTAGTGCCATGGTAGTCGTCGTCGTCGCCGCCGCCACCGTCGTCGTCTTTTCAGCAGCAGCAGCAGCAGCAGCAGCAGCACCAGCAGCAGGAGTGGCCGCAGCCGTGAATGGCAGAGTTATTCCTGCTACGCAAGGAGATAATACGGTTGATGATATAAATCCTGCATGACCCATAATAAAGAATACACCATAATTCCCATAGTTTAGAGTCCTTAAGGTAATGCAGGATTGATATCATCAACCGTAATACCAGTCAGCAACAGTAAAGACATAAGAACAATGAGAGCAGCATACAGATTGGTGTGTACATGTACGGTATGGAGACAATGCTCAGACACAGATGATTATGATGACAATGATACCCTCGATAGCGAAAACAACAAGACACTAATTAGTTAAGTAGACACTACAGAAGGAAAGAGAGTGATCGCAACAGTAACAAGAACAATGATCCCACCAGTCCGAAAAGCATGGTTGACATAGGCAAAAAAGTGATATTCGAATAGATACCATGAAAACATGCTTACATACACATACACATACACATACACATACACATACATACATACATACATACATACACATGACACAGGCATACTCAACTGCATACATGCATACATGCTTCCCTACACACATATGCATATATATATATATATATATATATATAGATTATATATATATATATATATATATACATATGTATATATGCAGAACGAGCCCGGCCTACATATAAATATGAATGAACACAAATTTGTATATATATATATATATAATATACACATAGTAATACGCTACACAAACATACATGTGTAAACAAATATAGATATGTATCTAAAGTTTCACTTATATGAGCAACCATATCAGTAAGCAACGATACATACACCTGCGAAATACATCCCGAGCCTGGAACCCTAGATCAAAAACCCCCAAAACCCTTAATGCCTTAATGATCCCTAGTTAATTAACCCTAAACCGAACCCCAGACCCAAGACCCCCCAAAACCCTACACTCCAGGACGATCCTTCTCCGAACCCAACCCCAAACCCAAGACCCCCCAAACCCTCCACTCCAGGACGATCCTTCTTCGCAGCCTTCGCCCCCGCAGCGGCCGCCTCAGATGCCGCCGCCGGGCGCTTCGGAGCCATGGCTTTCAAGCTAAACGAAGCCTAGGTGGGGCTTTTAAAGCCTTTGAAAAATATTAGTAAATCAGATCCTCTTAAGCCCAACAAGCGAAAAAAATTAAAATGTCCCGAAGCCCTAGCTTGAAGCGCTTTCAGATGATGTAGGAACCGGGTTTAGGGGTTTAGCGTTGCAGGGTTCCTTTAAAGGGATGTAGAAGGGTTCCTTAAAGGGACCTATAAGGGCACTATAAGGGTTTGGGGGATAATGTAGGCGCCTGACCAAGAAACCTTGCGCCTTTATTAGGGCTCCCTATATGAAACCGACTATATTGCCTTAACCAGGTTCCTACATTACGGAGCACGTGCTTATCCGGATTTGGAGGGTTTGAGAGGCGGTCTATGTGGACTTCGAGATGGTGTTGGTGTGGCTTTGGTGGGTGATGGCTGCTGCGTTCTTAAATCAAGGACTTGGGTTCTAGGGGATCGTCGGGCTGGTGGGTTTTTTTCTCAGGGGGAGCGGAGAATACGGGTTCCGGGTTTAGCATTGAGGAAGCCTTCGAACGGGGTCTAAGTCTAAGGAAGACGGGACCCTAGAAGGAACCCTTACAGGACCCCTCAAAGGAACATCTGAGACATCTTGGGAACTCCTCAATGATCCAAGATAGAGAACTCCTAGAAAAGAGGGCCTCTCTTCAGCCACAGAATGGTAGGGGACCTGCTTGGGTACGTATTTCCCTTATGGGACCACTGGAAGAGGGCCGAGGAAACGGAGCCCACAGGCTTCGGAGGGAGCACATGCACAGCATGATCAAGGGGCCATGCTTAGAGGATCATGGGACTTAGTAAGTAACCCTTTAAGGGCCCCTATGAGGGATGTTAAGGGGTACTATGAGGGTTTTGGGTTTAGGGTACTAGTAATTGGAGGATCATGGGACATAGGAAGTTTATACGCAGAGTATGAGTAAGCTGTAACCATGGCTACCTTACTTATAACCCTAGGTGCTAAGTCCCATGATCCTCTAAGTAGATAGAACCCTAACCCATATAGATCACTTAAAGGAACCCTTTAAGGAGCCCTTTAGAGAACCCTATAATGCCAGTTACTAAGTTCCAAGGGCAAAAGGAGGGACCTTATAAGGACCCCTAGGTATATGCCTTTAATTATAGCCATTATATACCCATTATATAAGCCATTACAGGGTAGGGGTCCCTAGTAAGGGTCCCTCGTTTTCCCCTTTGATTTAAGGAGCCCTTTAGAGAACCCTATGACCCCAGTTACTAAAGCCTTAAACCGAAGGCCTCCATGTTGCTCAAGGTCGCAGGTTTCTGGGGTTTCGGTGTTTGTCCCTAGGGTCGGCGGTCGTAGAGTAACGTAGAAATTTTGGGGGTTAGGGTCTATCTTAGGGTTTATCGGTTTAGGGTTTAGGGATAGGGTTTAGAGCTTTGAGGCTTGGGTTGAGAGTTGTGAGACTTCGGGTGTTGGGGGTTGTGGCAGTTGGGCTTGGGGCTTTGATGCCGGGGTGTATGGGTTGACCGTCTAGGGTTTAGGGTGACTTCCTAAAGCCACCCCTTGACCCTCAACCCTAAGCCCCAAACCCAACCCTAAACACGAAACACTAAACCCGCAACCCTCAACCCTAAACCCCAAACCCAACCCTAAACACTAAACCTTGAAGGCAACACCCGGCCTGTCTTTCTAGAGAAACACAGGTGACTTGCGCTCAAAGAAGGAGATCCACAGCCCCAAAAGTGCGGTTGATGATATAAACCCTGCATTACCCATAATAAGGAATATACCATAATTCCCATAGCTTAGGGTCCTTAAGCTAATGCAGGATTCATATCATCAACCGTGGTACAGGGGCCGTACTGACGAAGCACTTCAGAATCATACTTAGATCCGGGGGCCTCGACAACTAGAACAAGGTTTTGGCGTATATCATCGTATAACTAGCATTTAGGGTTTAGGGTTTAGGGTTTAGGGTTTAGGGTTTAGGGTTTAGGGTGAAGGGCTGGCTGAGGGCTGAACCCTGCGAAACCAGAGTAACAACCATTGACACAACAACTCGCAATACTTCATGTCGTTGCTAACGGGTCTGCCGGGCCCCTGTCTAAAATCAAGTTAGCAAGCTGTTTTTACAGTACAGCGCATGGTACGTTGCCTAGCTATTAGACCCTAAAACCTAAACCCTAAACCTATAAGGCAACCATAACCTAGGATACCCAGTAACCTAAGAATAAAAAGGCCTGTCTTTTTGGTATTGGGTAACTTTATAAGGAACCTAGGACTACAAAAAGGGAGTAAGGGTACTACTGGGCATCCTAGTAACCCTAAAACCCAAACCTGGAGCCCCAGCCGCTTGTCAGGCGGAGAGACGATCTTGGGCTTAGGGTTGGGGTCGTTCCCCAGACCCCCTTTGGAGGATCTGGAAAGTAGATCCGCTAGTTTGGGGCCCTATACTACTAAGGGTACTTTATAGGAACCCCCATTCAGGGATCTACTTTTTGGATCCTCCCGGGGGTCTGGGTAGTCTGTAGTTCAGGGCATTAATTGACAGCTGGAGGTAGCTAGAGTTACCTAAATGACGTCATCTTGGTGACAACTTTACTTCTCAGAAGCTACTTACCAAGCTCGAAAACATAAACCCGAAACCCTCAAACCCTAAGCCCGCGACCCTGCCTAGACCCTGAAGATCCCTAAACCCTGGTCCTTTCAGTAATGGAGTAAACTATGGCCCGCGCGCCGGTGTTGGCAGCGACAGCGGCGCCGTCGTCGTCATGGCCTTCACGATGCGTTCCGAGAGAGGGTTTAGGGCTTAGGGCTTACACGGTGTAGGGTTGAGGGCCTGAAACGGTCTGGATTTCAGGGCTGAAAGGATCGATCTAGGGCTTGCCCTACTTGGAGGATGATGAGCCTTGACAAGTAAGCGCCGGTCTAGGGTTTAGGGTCCATTACCGTTTAAACGGGATCCGCAGGGGCACTACAAGGGTTGGGGGACTGAGAGGATCGTGGGACTTAGTAAGGCGACAAGTACCTTAATTGGAGTTGTAAGTCGTCATGACTAGTCATAACTGTAGTTACCTTGCTTTTAACCCAAGTTACTTAAGCTTCCCACCCAAGGTACCAAGTCCCATGATACTTCAAGAAATCGTAAACCCTGAACACCGGGGCCCAGAGCCTCCCCCGGAACTATAAAACCCTAAACTGCCGTCTTATATCCCATAATGCCAACTTTAAGTAAGCCATGGTATGTATTGTTTGGTCCCCGAAAAAACCCTCAACCCTGAACCCCTAAACCCGGAACCACCTACACTCCAAACCCCTAGACCCTAAACCCCCGAACACTAAAATCCTAAACCCTGGACTCTATATGTTTCAGTGTTTGATTGGTTCCTTTGAGGGATCCGTTAATTAAGGGCTTCTTTGAGTTCCTTTGGGGGTTCCGTTAAAGGCTCATACGTCTGGGCTCCGCACGCTCCCGGCCTTTGCCCCAGCGAGCGGCGTAACGTCGCTTGAGCCGAGAAGACGGAGCGTTGAGGGTTTACAGGGGTTTGAGGGTTTAGGGTTCAGGGTTTATGGGGGTTTAGGGTCTGAGGGCTTGAGGGCTCTAGAGTTTCACGGAAAGTTTGGGGGTTTGAGGGTTTGAGGGTTTGAAGGTTAAGGTTTAGAGAGGAGACGATGAAAGAAAAACGCATGCGTACTTCCAAAATGCAGGTACAGCACGTGAGGGCTCAGAAGGACTTCGTCAGTAGATGTCAAGTTAGCCCCATTTAGTGTACTGACAAGTCTACATATAGTCTCCATTGTAGTTCCTTTTTGTGTTTAACCAAAAACTATATTATAGGATCCTAAGCATAAAACTGGTTAACCAAAACAAGGAACTACAATGAAGACTATAGGTACTTTCCAACCACTGGTTTGGATCTGGGGCTTTGAGGATTCAGGGGTGGTAGTGAGGTAGTGTATCTTCGAGGGTTCAGCGAGGGTTTAGGGTTGAGGAGTCAGCGTGAAATCCTAAACCCTAAAGCGTGGGTGTAAAGGGTGCAGAATGTTTTTGACTATACGCTTTAGGGCACTTGATGGTCTTGGGAGCGTTTGAGGCTTTGGAGGTCGAAGGCCCGAACGCCTAATAATTCAAGACTCCGGGCCTAATACAGAGCCAAAACAGATCGTCGGCTCCACAAAGCCTAAACAATAAACCATAAGCTCGATCCCAAATCCTACAGTCTCAACCCCAAAACCCAACCCCAAACCCAAAGCCCTATACCATACCTCCTAACCCTAAGCCGTAAACCGTACAAGGAAAAACCCCTTCTCCCACCACGGAACTCTCCACTCAAAGGCTTAGGGTTTAGGGTTTACCGAAACCTCGACGCTGCATTAAAACTCAGAACTTGAAACCCTGAGTCGGAAGCATCAACCCAAAGCCCACAAGTAAATCCCCATATAAACGTATATATATATATATATATATATATATATATGTATATATATATCCATATATATATATATATATATATATATATATATAGGTGCTACGTGCATATCTGTATATTAAAAACTTTATGATATATTTATATTTATATATACATATATATATATATATGTATATATATATATATATATATCTCACACATTTGTATTTATGTATATATACACACACATAAATGTGTGTGTGCATGCTATCTGTATATATATATGTATATATATATATATATATATACACATAATTATGTGTACATATGTGTATATACACATCTCATATATTGGCATGCCCCAACATCCTTTGTATTTATTCAGGCCCCTATTGCAAACCGTGAAGAGCCTAAAATCCTCGATAAACTTCCTAAAGAGAAGCGGCGACTGTTGATCAGGGGTCTACACTAAACCCTAAACCCTAAACACTCAACTCCAGACCATCTGCCAACGGCAACCGAATCCGACACGCGCCTGACCGCCTCCGAGGTAGCGATACCTTTCCAAGCCCAGGTTCGGGTTGTCGCAGGTTTCGGCCGCAACCGAC